TTCCCAGACGAGACTGTGCTGTGGGGGCTCCCCGCCTCCAGTCCTCCTTACCCTCCCCGCCAGCAGCTTTCTGAGGCACAAGTGTGAGAATTTCGTCATCATCTGGCACATGCGCTGAGCCCCGCCCCCTGCAAAGTTGCCTTTCTCAGGAAGCTGATGTGATCCGGTTTCATGCTGGGCTGGAGAGACAGACGCTGGCTATCTGAAGTTAGTTTCTGTTTTGGCATGTTTTTGCGAGCTGGGGGGACCTGTCTCACCAAGGCACTGGGCCTTTTCCACGTTAAAAAGGGCACAACCCAGCCTGGAGTCCACTGCGGTCAGACCACCCAGCGCACGTCTGTCCGGGGGAGAGCCAGGGGGCTTGCTCCTGCGGTTTGAACGTCAGAATGAATGAGAAGCCATTGGATGTGCTTTCTCAAACCCCCATTTCAATGTGTGGCTTTCCTGCTTCCCTAAGCTGCCCCCGCTGAGTGATTAATAAACTTGTCATTCAGGCAACTTCCTGCAGTGGGAGTGAGTTTGGGCCGGCCCTCCACGCTGTCTGTGCTGGAAAGATGGTGCTGGCCGTCCTCTCCAGCCAGCCCTGGGAATCCCGAGAAGCTGTGGAGAGCTTCCAGGTTCCTGGATGGTAGGGTGACCATCCCAGTGCAGCCCCAGCCTGGGGCACAGAACTCAGGTGTGGACCCCGGCCCAGAGGGCAGGTGTCGTCCGTGGCCCTCGGTCTATGGAGTGGGGTGAAGGAGACTCTTGGAGGGCCGGGCAGCCTACGCACCCCGATTTTTGATTTTTGAGCAGAAGCAGCACCCTGATTTCCTTTGGGGGTTTGCCTGTCCCCGCTGGCCATGTCCGCTCTCGCCCAGGGACCCTGGCTGTGCTGCACCCTCTGGAAGCCCCCTGCTGGCATTTGAATCCTGGAAGTCAAGAATGAGTGAGCTCTGCCGCTCATGTGCTGCATTAGCTCGGAGGTTGTAGGGTGGGCCACTCCTGCTCCGGCACCTTCTGGAGCTGCCCGGGTCCCACTGGCCTCCCTGGCCCGGTGCCCAGCATCCCACTACTCCAGGGAGCTGCCCACTGTCTCACCACGACCTACCTTTTGCCAAGTCAGCCGCTCAAGACCAGGGACCTAACAACCATGTGTACCCCTACAGGAGGGACGGGGCAGTGGCCAGGGCACCACCTGCAGACCTGATGATGCTGGCGGGGGCGGGTGAGCTGAGGAGGGCAATCTGAAGAATGTGGACTTTAGTTAGTAAAAATGGCTTCACATTGGTCCATCCTAACGCCAGATGCTAACAGCTGGGGAAACCGGGTGCCGCATGTGAGAACTTTTTCTGTCTTCATGATTTTTCTAAAAAGAAGTTTATTATAAAGAGAATAAAGAAGTTCTTTATGTACAGATACAGAAGTAGCTCCAAGGTGTAGGATAAACACACGATGAAGCAGGCACGGAGCGTACCACTTTCTTGTGTGTAAAGATGCATTGGTGGGGGGGCAGAGAAGGGAGAATGTACTTTCCTATTTGCTTGTATTTGTAGAAAAGAACTTGGGAGGAGCACAAGAAAGGAACATTTAACCGTGTGAATGAGCTAATTGAACACGAACACTCCGATGTTGCTGGCGCCGCCTGGGACCCCGTCCTCGGGCTGCGTCCCCAGCCCTCTGTTGGCATCCCGCCTCCCTCTGCCGATCCCCGCCCCCGGCCGCTGGTTTCTTCCGGTCAGCCCTCTCCTGTGGGCCTCTCTGTTCTGGGAGAAGAGCCCTCCCCAGCAGCGCCCATCTTGTTCCGGGAATCTGGCGGAGCAGCTGGGCCCTCGGCTCTCGGTAGGTCACGGAGAGTTTAATGATCTGGACACAGGTCACATTCGAGAATGAGTAAGGCACGCCGATCTGAGCAACACACCACCCCCAGGATCCAGGGGCATCGAAGCGAAATAGCCAGCCTTGCTGAAGACAGGCGGGAACATGTTTCAGAGAACAATTTATCAGCACATTTTAAGAGCCTTAGAAATGATCCATAAAACCGCTGCAAATTCATTATAAGGAAAGAATGTTTCTAAAGGGGACAAACTCTATTTACACATGTGTTGATGGCAGTATCCTAACAGTGAGAACACAGGAAGTCGTCCAGAGTCTAAATAGAGGGTGGTCTATCCATGGGGGCCCAGACCCGGGAGACAGGGCATTGTGTGCAAAGTTACCCCTGAAATCTCTCCAGTCGCCCACAAAGCACAACATCCTGGAGTCAGCGGGTGTGGACGTTGGCAGTAGTATGGAGTGGATAACATGCCATCCACAGAAACGTGCATCGTACACATCAAGAAAAGTCCCGTTTTCCAGCATTTTTAGCTGCAGGCAGTGTGAGCGTGCTGACTTCATGAGGGCACTGCAGAAGGTGCCACACCCACCCTGTGTCCATTTCCATCTGGGGAAATTAAGGTGACCGCAGACGGTGGGTCTGCAGCCAGCGTGGTGGGAGGCCTGGCCTGGGCACCTCCCCGGACCTCACCGACCCGGCAGAATTCCACGGGATGGGGCCAGACTGTGGGTCCTCCTCCGTTTCCTGTCGTGGTGACGGTGGTCACCAAAGTCTCGTGGGCCCCCAAACAAAATCCACGACATGTGTCTATCGGTGAGCTCTCGGGAGCTTGCCCTGCGAATGTCTGTGTAAAGACTGCGTTCCCTCTTGAAGCCACAAAGCTTGCCTTGCAGTACCGTGTCCCCCGCCACACTCCCAGGACGCTCCGAAGAGGGCTCCGTGAGGCCCAGAGACATCGTCCCCGGCCTGCCTGGCAGCAAGCAGAACGTCTGACCCATCAGATGGGATCCCATGGACTCCCGGAAGGAGCCCAGAGACGGCTGCCAGGTGTTCTCGTCAGTTCCTCAGGCCGCTGCTCAGGGACAGACGTGGAGAGAGGACCCGCGCCCCCGGTCAACACCCATCCTGTGGCGCTCAGTCAATGACTACCCCACTGGTGTCCGCCCTAAGTAATTGCCTCCCCATCAAGACTCTTGTTTCTGGTTCATAATCCCAGCTCCTTCACAGAGGAAACGACACGGCCAAACAACGGTGCTGCACGTCAACAGCGGGGCGTGCAGGAGCGGGGACATAACCGGCCTTGGCACGGCCAGTCTTGTCCAAAGACGCAAAACCGGGAGCCATGAGAAAAATGGAGGACTACATGAAAAAAGCAATTTTTGCATGTTAAAAAAATTAGTCAAAAGAGAAGTGACGGGGCTGGCCCCGTGGCCGAGTGGTTAAGTTCGCGCGCTCTGCTGCAGGCGGTCCAGGGTTTCGTTGGTTTGAATCCTGGGTGTGGACATGGCACTGCTCATCAAACCACGCTGAGGCAGCGTCCCACGTGCCACAACTAGAAGGACCCACAACGAAGAATATACAACCATGTACTGGGGGGCTTTGGGGAGAAAATGGAAAAAAATAAAATCTTTAAAAAAAAAAAAAGAGAAGTGACAAATTGGGGGGAAATTCTTTACAAAATACTCCAGAAAGGGCTGGCTTGCTGACCACGTGGAGGGTCATAAAGGACCGACAGGGACCACCAGAGAAGGACAAGCTCAGCCCACAAGAAAGAAACACAGACTTTTAAATGAGAGAAGCTGCTCGACCTTCCTCATAATTAAGACGTGAAACTAAAATGAGGGAACTCTTCCTCTTTCTGATTCAGCAAAGAAGGAACGTTTGAAATGGCCCTGCATGTGAGCTGCGGGAAAGGCACTTGCTGGCGCAGAGCCCTTTCTGGAGGGCAGCTTTTTGCTTGAAATAAAAGTGTGCGGTCCTGTGATGCAGCACTGCCACGCTGGGATTCATCCTGCAGACTCGTCGTACTGTGTGTGCCGTCTGTCACTGGGGGACCGCTGCACGAGATCATGGGGCACTCTGGTGGCAGGAGGGCAGCGTGCCCGCTCTGTGGGGAAGCTGGCAGTGCCCAGGTGCCCGGCATGCACCGCAGGCATTTGTTGAGTGGATGAGGACGGCCGTCAGAAAGGACAAGGGAGGTCCCTAGTGCTGACATGGCGCCGTCTCAGGTAAATGCGTGCACAAAGTGCAGCAAGGCGTGCACAGTGGGCTACTCCTGTGTGGAGCTGCGACCATGGCTGGGTTCTGCACTCTGGGCGCGGCACCCTCAGCCCCCGCCTGCCCAGGCCCAGCTCTCGTGGCCTGACTCCCTCACCGCCTCCCTGCAAACAGTTCCCAGGGGTGTCGTGTCTTCCCAACTACCTTGAGTGGAAGGGGCTCTTTATAAGATAGAGTTTACTTTATAAGAAGGAAAACCTAGAAGTTCCATTTTTGGGTTTTGGTCAGTTGGCAGAACTGAAAACAGACTCCGACATCGACACAGAAGGGTGGTTAAGTGAGCTGTGCACAACTTTCCAACTGCAGGGACGAAGTCATGGTTCTGAACTTCAAACCGCAGGTAAGCTGCAAGTCCTTATTTCTGGTGTTTGAAACAAGACGCGGCCCATGATCAGCACCTTATGTGCCCACCTGGGCACTGTGCATGCTGTGTGCGGGACAGAGAGAAGGATGGCAGTGGCGTGAGACCCATGTGACATAGTGAACCTGGGGGGTCACACATCACTGGGCATGAGCTGAGCAGAGCTCCCGTGAGACGACGGTGTCATTTTGCACCATCTACCCGGGTGAACTCTGAGGATGTCGTGGATGCTAAGGAGAGCCATCTACTCCAAGGTGCCGTGCCTAGAATGGAGGCCTGCAGGCCACCTGCCTCTCCTGCTCCGTCCCGGGCGACAGGCGGCCTGGCTCTGCGCCCCCAGTGCAGGGTGTGCCTGAGCTCCGGCGGCAGCCGGGGGCACAGGAAGCAGAGTGGCCGGAGGTGGGGGGATGCCAGACAGGCAGACCCACCCGCTGCTCACACATCACCGTTGACGCTCATGTAGGATGTGCGTCACAGTAAAATGACAGAGGACAAATGGGAAAACACACTCACAAGCCAAACAAGGAAGAAACGGCCCACAGTTGCTAGCTAGAAAAGGTGTTTTCCTCTCATTTTATTTGATAATACATTTTCACAGAAACATGATATTATTTACAAATATACAGGTAAGAGACTGCTGGTCAAAAATCTTAAACTGAGAATGTCATCAAAAATTAATTTACAAAAACCACCAACTGTCCAAGGGAGTCCCCAGGGGAGAATCTGGACAGTGTTCTGTGATGGGTCTGTGCAGAAGGGGGCTTCGCAGCCCTTCCGGCTTCTGTAACCGCAGCCACCAGGGAGCAGCGCCCACTGTCGCCCACAGTCAGCGGCACGGGCCGTCCCGCCCAGCCGCCTGTGCCTCAGGAGGCACTGGTCTGCATGTTTTTGGAAGCTGCGAGCATCGCTCTTACTTTGGCCATGAGGTCCTGTACAAGGAGAGACACAGAGGATCTCTACAAGGTTCCTGTTAGGACCTGGAAACTGGACAATCTACGCGGTGAACTGACCTATGAAAATGTTGGAGGAAGACTTGGAAAAGGAGCTGTGTGGCTGTGAACACCCCCCAGGTAGGGTCCTGCTCCGAATCTCCCACTGCTGGGGCCTCAGTGCTCACGGGCTCAGGCCGGGAGGAGAAGGGGGCAGGAGGGCTGGTTCCCGGGCTCGCCCCGGGGCAGTGCCAAGACCACTGGCCCTCCAGAAGGCCGGCCCACGACCCCTGTCCTTCATCACTATTGCTGAGACAAAGGGAGGGAAGTGAAAAGTAGCCTCTTTATAAAAAAAGGGGAGAAACCCACTCCCATTTTACCTGAGTTATTTTGCTCTGCACAGAAGAAACAATCGCTGAAGAGATCTGACCGTCTTTTTCCTGAGAAACCCCCCTAATGCACACAAAGAGAGACCAGAGGCTTAAAAAATACTTAAAAATTTAGAGATATTTAAAAAAACACAGAAAGGTAGAACGAATAACATAATAAACATCCATACTTCAAACTCCCTAGAACTCAAAAAGAACGTTTTACTATATTTGTTTCCAATATCTTTAAAAATCTTTTAAAAAGAAATCAACGTTATTAAAAATATATATATTTATGTTAAAACACACATCTGAAATATTTTATAAAATGCAACCTAACTGAAAAAGAATATTTTCACATGAACATTATATAAGACACATTCTAAAAAGAGATGAAGAAATGCACAGAAGCATCAGAAAGCTAGAGCCACACTCCCAGAATCGCGACATTGACCACGAGCGGGTGCTCCTGGTCGGTTCTTAAGACTCTTATGTGCGTGGACACGACCCACAATTAGTCGTCGGGGTCTGCACTTCCTACGTCCTACCTTCGAAGAAGCTCCATCTTAGACTCGAATCTCTCTCAAGCGAGCTGTGGCCTGCGCTACGCAGGCGCCCGCATGTCCCATTTCAGGGGCGGCCGTGCTTCATGCTGATGGAAGCACCAGCTCTACAACCGAGAGGGGACGTGACGCCCAAACGCTCCACTCCTGAGCCCCTGCCCAGGCTCTGAGTGGACAGGGGCGTGGGGGGTCTGGCTTTCTGAAATCGGAACTGTTTGGCAAATGCTTCCTGACAACCACGGGTGGCGGGTCAATGGAGAGTCAGTTACCGGCATGAGGACGCTTGCACCTGTGCTAGTGGCCAGGCTGGCCATGTGCCAACCAGTGTGGACTTTGACGTCACACACCCCATGTGGCCGGGAAGAACAGGTTGGCCCCGCTCTTAGTGGCCTGGAGTGCGTGATGTGTCAATGGGGAGTTATGGGTGCCCATCACCTTGGCCCCCCAGTGCCTGGCCCTCCCCCTCCCTTATGATCATGCTGGTCTCCGCAGCTCCCAGTGAGGACAAGCTCCCAGTGGTGACAAAGGCGCCACCATCGGGGTGGTTCGAGAACTAGCAGTTTTGAGAACGGCTTCTGTCACGCTAAAACACGATTTCCCAGCTGGTTAGACAGAAGGAAGTCCTCTCCTTGGCACCTGAGGGAGCACTTCCTCATACAGGACTCTGCGTCTCATGGAGTGGAGGCAGCCCATCTCACACCCGCTCGCGTCTCTGAGGTCGGGCCCACAGACAATCACAAAGGGCTCAGGCCATTCGGTGACTCCCTCTGCCTGATGGGAGAGCAGGGGTTAGCCGAGAGCACGGGGCAAAGGGGTGGCTTCTGGATGGCACTCCCAAGGCCTGGCCCTATTTCTGACTGTCCTTGGTGTCCACCCTCTGCTTAGAGCCCAGGTGACATGTGGACGAGGAGGCCAGGAGCAGGGGTCCCTAGGCCTGGGCCAGTGGTCTGCTGGCTTCCCACTCTGGGCCCTTCCCCATGAGAAGCGCCCCCGTGGCCCAGAAGTCAGGGTGCAGCTGGGGTGGGGTTACCTGGAGCGCTCCTGGCTGGAGCCTCGACTCTCCACGGGAGAGATGCTGGCCGAGTGGGCCGAGTGCCTGCGTGTGGCTTGCTTGCTTGGGGACGCCGACTGAGACCCCGCCTTGGCCTTGGTCCGGGACCGCGAGCGCCGCTTCTTCTTCTTCTCATGGGGGCTTCTGGAAGGACAGTGGGTTTAGGCAAGGGCACAGAGCTGCCTCTGAGGAGTTTTTGGGTAAGTGTTTCCCAAGGGACAATTTGGCGATGTCACCTTTCTATACACGTTAACTCCTTTTTAGAGCTATACACATTTATATGTTATATAAATAACATGTATATATTATATACACACACACACACATACCTGTGGGATTTAAAACATGGGATCAGCACTTTATCCATATTTAAAATACCTAAGATGAGCAACCAAGTGCTGTTTATACTCTTGTTCACTTACGCTAACTCAATGAGATTTCCAACAAGAAACGGAAATTAAAAGCATGTCCTGCCTGGGCAAAAGCTCAGCGTTTCCCTCCGACCCATAGTTTGCAGATGTAACTACTGGGCGCACCTGCGTGTCCACCAGGGAGGCCCTTGCCGCGCCCGGCGCTCCCACCAGACTCCTCGGTCTCACGGAGACGCTGCCTGGCCCTGCCCCACCCGCCCTCCCACACATCGCTCCTCACCAGGGCCTGCTGGCTCCAGGTCAGGAGCGTTGCCCCGGTCCTTCCCGATCCAGACCTTCGGCCTGCACTTCACCTGAGCCCGTCCCCGTCTCCGGCCCGGACAACCTGCTTCCTCAGTTTCCCACATGTCTGACTCCGTTCCACACCCCTGCCGTGTGACCCTCCTTCTCACACTCCTAACAACATTAAAAAAAACCCCTAAAACAAAACACATGTAGGTGGTAAAAGTGATGTGTTCCAGACAGGCGCTGAGCTGCTTCCTGCTCTCGGCCCCTTCGGGTTCCTCCTCTTTTTAAAGGTCCCCACCGCCCACCAGATGCGAGGCTGCCAGTCTGTACTCCATGGTAACCGAGTGTCTCCTGGAGAGTCTGCATGGGCCTGTCATCACTACTCTAACTGGCCCCTGTTCTCAATCTCTCTGCTTCCGGGCTGTGTCTTGCCACAATGCACCCCAAGGACGGACCCTCGACATGAACTGCTAGGCCAGGGCAGAGGCAGCATGGAGGGCACGGCCAGACGCCCCTCCTCCGCCCACACCCTTGCTGCCACAGTGCTGTCAGCACTGTCCGACTGCAGTGGGAAGATGTGCGCCCGGACCTCGCCACAGTCTGAGCCGGCACCTCTTCTGCGCCCTAAATACAGATGCTGCAGGGTCACCGTCTGCATAGCTCAGACTCCTTTTGGCTCCTTCAAGATTCTGTGTGGCTCGCAGGCCCTTCCCAACCCAGGAGACACTGCGGGGCCTGTCCACACGCCCGCTTATCCCCAAGACCAGCTCAACTGTCACCCTGGGTTTGGGTCCCAGCCCAGTCACTTACCAGGGCAGCGTGACTTCATGAGTTTCTTGGTGCCCTCTTTGTGGTCTGCAGAGTGTGGGCTCCACGCAAGGTGTATGCTCGCCACCCCTCTCCAGCACCCCCATCAGTGCTGGCCCCCAGAGGCGCCTGCGAAACACTTTGGTGTAGCCCCCCTCTGGCAGGGACGGCCCTGAGTAGCTGGCAGGGCCTTAGCATTTCAGTCCAGGGTCCTGGTGCTGTTCTTGTGCAAAGGCAGACTGTGGCACCAACGGAGCAATCTGATACTCCAGCGGGGCAAGGGACGGGCTTTCCAGCTCTGCCTTACTAACGAGAAAGAATTGGCCTGAAGTGGCGGCAGCGTGGTACCTTAAATTCAGCTGTGGGAAAGAGTCGCTGGTGAGCCGGGGCCACAGGCAGGTGGCCTGACGCACTGGCCAGGATAAAGACAAATGCTCCACTGATGGAGAGGCTGTCCTAGTGCTGGATACACAGATGTGGAAAGTGCATACAATGGGCGTATTTTCTACATTGCAAAAGTTTTGTGCAATTTTTAGGTCTATACACATAAGCTAGGATTTCAAATGAAGCAGTAAATAAATATTCTGTAGCAAGTGACATAAGTTCAAAATGATTTAGGCCCCAAATCAGCGAAGTTTCTGAGGCTTGCTTCCCTACATGAATTAATTAAAGGTAGGCCAGCAATCCTTGAGTGTAAATCAGTCCAGTTTTACCACAACTTGATCTCACGTGACAAAAGTTTCTAAGCATTTGCTGATGGAACTCATTCATTCAGTCATTTAAAAACCTGAGGCGCACTTTACATCCAGCAGAACACAAAGGTCTCAAGTGCTGTTTGGTGAGTTTTGGCAAGAGCACACATGACGTCCAGGCCCCCACTGTGGTCAGGAACATCCCATCATTCCAGAAAGTTCCCTCACTGCCGCTCTCAGTCATCTGCATGCTCTTCCGCACCATGGTTGATTCCCAGCACACAAATTCAATTCCCATAAACAGAATACTGCAGTATTAATCCTTTGTGTCTGGTTTCCTTTGCTCAGCAAAACGCTCCCGAGATTCTCCCTCAGTGTTGGCTGTCACCAATCTGTTTCCTTTTGCTGTCGAGCACTGCACTGTCTAAATCTACCATCATTCGTTTGTGCTTTCCCCTGATAACAGACATTGGGGTTGTTTCCAGTTTTCAGCAATTATGAATCAAGTTGCTTTGGGGTCAAACGTTGGACTCATAGTCAGTCAATACCTGGGACGGGCACAGCTGGGTCGCAGTTTCCCAAGCAGTCACACCATTTTACACGCCCACTGCCCAGGTCTCAGCGCCCCAGTCGCTTGCATCCTTGCCAACACTTGGTAGCGTCTGTCTTGTGTACTTTTAGCCATTTATGTCAGTGTAAAGCGGCACCTCATGTGGTTTTAATCTGCAGTTCCTTGACAGGTGGCTAATGATGCTGAGCATCTTTTCATGTGCTTATTGGCTATTTAATACATTCTCTTACAAAACTTGCCTGTTCAGGTCATCTGCCTCCTCTTTAATACAGTGTCTGTCTTTTTGGTGCTGGTACAGGCCTTTGTCAGAGATGCATATTGCAAATATCTCTCCCAGCCTGGGGCCAGCCTAGTCATTTTCATAACTGTGCTTTTGTGTGAAGTTTTAATTTCAATGAAGTCAATTTTATTATTTTTTTCTCTTTGTCTTCTCCAAAAAGCTGAATGGTTCTGGTTTTCACGTTTAGGTCTCTGATCCATCTTGAATTAATGTTTGTGTATGGTGTACAGATCACTCTTTTTTTTTTTTAAGGAAGATTAGCCCTGAGCTAACTACTGCCAATCCTCTTCTTTTTGCTGAGGAAAACTGGCCCTGAGCTAACATCCATGCCCATCTTCCTCTACTTTATACGTGGGACGCCTGCCACAGCATGGCTTTTGCCAAGTGGTGCCATGTCTGCACCCAGGATCCGAACCGGTGAACCCTGGGCCACCGAGAATTGGAATGTGCAAACTCAACTGCTGCACCACTGGGCCAGCCCCCAGACGGCTTTTTTCCATTTTCACTTATTTATTTGTTGGTTTGTTTATTTATTTATTTTGAGGAAGATTAGCCCTGAGCTAACATCTGCTGCCAATCCTACTCTTTTTGCTGAGGAAGACTGGCCCTGAGCTAACATCCATGCCCATCTTCCTCTACTTTTTATAGGTGGGATGCCTGCCACAGCATGGCTTGCCAAGCGGTGCCATGTCCGCACCCGGGATCTGAACTGGTGAACCCCAGGCCACCAAAGTGGAACATGCGAACTTACCTGCTGTGCTGCCAGGCTGGCCCCACTTTTCTCCATTCTGATATCCACATATCCAGTTGTTCAAGCACGTTTTGTTGAAAAGACTTCCCCTTCCTCATGGAATTGCTTCGGCATGTTTGTCAAATATCACCTGGCTACGTAATGTGGGTCTTCTCGTGGACTCCGTTCAGCTCTGTTGCTGTTTCTACACCCTTATGCTCATACTGCAGTCTGTGTTTTTCCCAACTCTACTGTAACATTGTGTAACTTTCAGGCGCACCAACGCACACCATCTCGATCACTGTAGCTTTCCAGTAAGTCTTGAATTGGTGGTAAAGGTCCTTGAACTCTGCTTTCTTCTTTCAATTGTCTTGGCTACTCTAGGTCCTTTAAGTTCCACACAAGTTACAGAGCTTCAGTTTGCCAATTTCCACGAAAAGCCCGTGGGAATTTTGATGGGATTGCAGTGGACCCACAGATCAGTGTAGGGAGCAGAGACATCTGAATAATACTGAGCCTTCCAATCCATGAACATGGCTCTCTCTCCATTTATTTAAGTTACTTTTGTTACATTTATCCATAGTAGTTTGTTTTTTTGATACTGTTACGAATGGTATTGTTTTTAACTTCATTTTTTGATTGTTCTAGGTTAGTATATACAAATAAACTTACGGATTCCTTAAGGTTTTACACAATTATGTAAAAAGACAGTTGTACTTTTTCCCGTCCATCTGGATGCCTTCTACTTCTCTTTCTTGCCTTGTTTCTGATCTCAGAAGAGCTCAGGCTTCTTCAATAAGTGTGATATTGGCTGTGCATTTTACAAAGTGGCTTTTATCAGACAGAGGAAATTTGCTTCTATCCCCACTTTGCCAAGAGTTTTTTCCCCCCTTTTTTCACTTTAATGAATGGGTGATGAATTGTGTTGAATGCTTTTTCTCCATCATTGAGATCACGCTGCTCTTCTTCATTTCTTCAGTGAATTACAATGATTGGTTTTTGAACACTAAAGAATCTTGCATTCGTGAGATAAATCCCACTTGGGCATAAGGTATTTTTACCCCATTAATAAACTGCTGGACTCAAATCAGCTGATATTTTGTTAAGGATTTTTGTATCTATCTTCTTGAGAGTATTGGTTTGTGAACACACATACAAACATATGTGTGCACATACACAGGCACCCCCCCCCATACATGTGTGTGTGAGTGTACACACCCACATACTCTGTCGATCTGCTTTAGGAATCAGACTGATGATGGCCTCAAGAGATGAGTTGGGAAGTGCTCTATCTTCTATTTTCTTTCAAGAGTGTCTATAAAACTGGTATCCCTTCTTTACTGAACATTAGAATTTACTGGTGGAAACTCTCAGGGACTGGAGTTTTGTGGAAAGGTTTTAAATT